GGTGTGGTACTTGGCCGGGGAACTCACTGACAAAATTTCAGCGCCGGAGTTTACTTGGTTGACAAGTTGAAACACACGGACAGACGAACACACAAACACACACATACACACACTCGCAAACACACACACAATACGCGTTTTTGCATTTGCATATAAGCAAAAACGTGTAATAGCATAAATACCTACGCTGGCAGAACGGGCTATTTTAGTATACCATACAAATTGATGAGCACTGAGGCGCCGTTTACACTGTATGCAACGAACAGAGTGACGTACTCGGCAGTTCAAGCACGTGTTATGATAACACTGCTTTTCCAGTATTAGCAAAAATGACAGTAGGATATCACAACATCCAGTGCCACAAGTCATCAGTGGGGAAGACGAGACTTGGAGATGATTCTGGTACCCTTCCAACTTGTTTCAGGTATCTGGGCGTTATGGAAAATGCAGTACAGCTTTACCACAAAGATAAAGCCGAATTCGATACTACGGCATTTGTTATGTGCCAGACAAAGGTGAAATCTTCAACAGTTGTAATCTTTTTTTGTAAAATTCAAGTTCTTTTGACAAAAAGAACGAATTGGCTGTGGTATTTTGACTTTTTCTTCTGATAGTTTTCGTAAATTCTGTGAAATTCATTTTTTTTGATCCCTCAGTGATTTTATGTAAAAAAAAATCGCTCAAATGTTTAAGCATTTTGATGTCAGCAATTACAGGTGATAAATAGTGGCAATAATAATAATGCTGATAAATTTTTTGTTCCACAAACTTCCGATTATTTTTTTCTTTCTAAAAATTTTTTTACAGGATCTGAAAAAGCAAATGCTGGAAGAGAAGGAAGAGGAAGGGATGGGTGTTGCTACGATTCATTACGGCGAAACAGACGCTTTCATCCAGCACATCAAAACAGAATTATGGCTATCTTATCAGGTATTATTCTTGAAACAAACTGTACTTGCCAACGAAACCACTCATTAACTGCTGCAGCTCGGAATTCAACAGATTATCATGCTGTGGATTTCAATCAAAAGTTGATCGAAAAGGCAATAAATTTAGATACAGGCACTATTAATTTTTCTTTAAAAATCCGTTTTTTCGAGCGTATTTGTTCGATTTTTGAAATCTAAAAACTTGGAATTTTTGATTTTTCATGTCTAGCGATTAAAAAGTTTTTTCAGCAAAAAACGTTTTGAATAGAAATTAATAGTTACATGTTTAGAAAGAGGCAGACATATTAGTAACAACAGTGGGGAAACACTGCAAAATTTTTTATACGAAAATTAGAAAAGAAATCATACAACGAGACGAACAAAATGATTTCTGTGAGTTGATAAATTAATAAACCAGCTGATCAGTTAGTAAATTAATGAGTGAATGGAAAAATGAATAGCAAA